TTCTCCAACCGGTCACCCTACGACGCTAGCGCGTATCCACTGAGCTGCCGAAACCAGCGACCACTCGCCGCGGTCAAACGCGATCAAATGTCCGACAATACTGTCATTGGCGGTCAGCGGGTGAATGTCATTTGTTTTGAGCAGACGAGGACCATTCTCGGTAGCTCAGTGGATGAACGCTCGTGTCGTGAATTGGCCGGTGGGAGAAGCCCGGTTCGAACCCCCCTGAGTGGCCGACTTCTTGGCTCCTAGTTGGAACGGTTTGCTATTGGGGGCTGCAACCACATATAAGAGCAACAGTAATAATCGCTTTAAATTGGGGCGTTGGCTGCGGCGCTACTCATAACCCCCAGTTCCCACGTCTCTGGACGATTGCCGTGCGAAACAATAGACACCAATCTGCTCAATCAAGGCCTTAATACTAATATGTTATACAAAATATAGCTCTGCACCTCGATGCACGAGTGACGATAAGTTCTATCGGCTGTCCCATTGCCACGCTTAAGTGTGTCGTAATGTGCATTGCAAGTATGATGGTAGGCGCTGTCTTAGGGATAGGACATTTTAACAACTGCTTTAGCACAATGGTTAGGTAGAATAATTGGCGTCCTGAGACGCGAAAGTTAACTACACTCGCTCAGCCGCGCGATGTCCGTGCTCCCACCCCACCTCACTCCCCAGTCCTCGCCAGCTGCCGCGCCGCGCCGACCCGAGCCATGCCTCCGGGCTCGGCCCTCACCGCTGCGCTGACGTCACAGGCGGCCCATATCACCTTCCAGCCACCGACCCAGACCGGTGTCATACGGGTGGGTAGGCTGTGCCGCTTGACAAGTAAGTGAAGCGGCACAGTCTACACTGTAAAAAAAGTTTACCAACTAGTTAGTTATCCGGCCACTTTTCACTAACCATAGGCGTGTAAGCAAAACACGCATTTCATGACTAAGTGTGTTTTCAATTACACGCAAAAGGTTGAATAGCGTGTTTTGAAACACACCTCCTAGTTTTCGAATATTTGCCAGGTTACTAAGATAAGCCGTGTAAGCGTGTTTATTGACTATCATCGGTGTGTTTTGTTAATAACTACAGACGTGTTAGGTAACACATGTGTTTGTCACACGGCCACTTTTCACTAGCTATATGCGTGTACGCAAAACACACATATTGCGTGTTAGCTAACTAAGCTGTGCGTGTTAATAAACTAAATGCATTTTTGAGAACAGGCGTGTAACTTAACTAATGTGCGTGTTAGTCACCTCTTTTCACAGCCGCCCCCCCCTCAAAAAAAAACGAATCGTAAACTCATCAAACATGTTTATTCAAAACTGCATTCAAGCTCCTTTCAGCAAGCTTACAACTGCAAACAGTAATATTCTCTTATTGTACTAAAAATGAACCTAAAAAAGTAATCTTCTGTAGGAAACTGCCGAGCGGCAAAGGCGCTCCGTTCTAAAGTTACGTTCTAAGCTATAGGACAGAGCTACGCACAGAGATGCTTGAGACTCTGGACATGTCCCAGGGCGCGGTTCGAAGGTTAACTGCCGAGCGGAAAAGGCATTCCGTATCAAGTTCTGTGCTCAGCTACCTCACAGAGCTGCTCGAGACGCTGGACGTGTCACACGGTTTGAAAGTGTTAACAGCCGAGCGGCAAGGCGTTCCGTTCTCAGGTTCCGTTCTAAGCTACTCACAGAGCTACGCACAGAGCTGCTTGAGACGCTGGACTCGTCCCAGGACACGGTTGGAAAGAGTTTGGTTGCCCCCCTTTTCAAAGATGTTCACCGTGATAAATATCAGAGCGTTCTTAGCCTTAGACACGGGCACTTCTGGTTGAACACTGGGAAAATCGCTGCCCACAGAAGCAGGATCAGCCTTGCTGCTCCGGTCCCCGACCTTGTCAAGCAGACCCCCTCGACGAAAGGCCGATGGACCCGTCGTCGTTGACCTGGTAGTGCGGCGCGCTTCCTGATCCCTCAAAGATGTCCTCGTGGGTTCGCGTCTAGGTAGTAGAGAGACTCGACGCAGTCGGTGTCTGAAATAGAGGTAAATTTCAGACTGATATTTACCTCTAACAGTATAACACTGCTACTTGCTAGCTGCTTGAGTTCTTCCGATCTCACGGATATCGTATAAAATGCCACCAAGGCCTCGAATTTCGAGACCATGCCGCTAACAACACAAATTTTGATATCTATTTTTTTTTTGGGGGGGGGGGAGGTCAGTTTTCACCTGGTCATGTGAAAACTGGTCTGGTCGTCAGGTCAAGGATCAAGTGATTCGCCAATCCAATAAAGGTCGCTGAAGTATAACAGCACAAATGTCAGTATAACACCTGTTCGGCGATGAACGAACGAGCCCAAGAGGTGTCACGTTTATGAAACGCATACTGAACTAGCTGGCTGCTTTTTGACCATATCACTGTTAATTCGATCAAATAAACAGCCGTGATGCCACCTCATGGCGATGAAAGAGCGAGCGAGAGAAACAGGCGTCACAGAGTAATTTGCACGCTTAAACCTAACTAGTTAAGAGCGTTTTGAAAACAAGGATAAACAATGCACAAAGCACACGACACAAGTCAGAGTAGTATTTTGAATTTAATTTTCATTCATCTGCTAGGTACTAGATTTGAAAGTAATGAGCAGAGACGTGTCTCACGTCGCCCATAGGTTATTAGTTCGGCAGCAATCTTGCATGGTCGTAATGGGGGGGGGGGCAATAGTTGACGTGAATGGTTTACCGTATTTACCTTGACATTCTGTGATCAGTTGGATGGCGTGAGAAAGTCGCTCAGGCGGCGCCTGTAGTCACCAAGCTTAGACGACTCCGTCTCCCCCTCCAGTTTGGCCAGCTCACGCCAGATCTGGAACAACCGGCATCAACAATATAATTAGAGGACAGTTAAGTCATATTATAGAATCCTCCATGGATGAGAAAACGTCAGAAAGCTATGGTGGCGACGAATAAAAGCCGAAACGATGCAACACCAGGGACATTTTATGGAATTAGAGAGTAGGAATATAATGACAATTTTACAACTTCCAAGGCATACTTAGTACTTACTTCGTCTGGGTTCCGCAAGATTGGATACAGCTCCAAAAGCTTGCGCATGCTGGTGCGGAGCGTCACCACATGCCTGCGCCTGTCTGCGAACGTCGAGTTGATCAGGCCTCTCGCTCAGCTTTGCCTTCGCTCGTCAGGTTAGCCTCGTGTAGATGCTTCAAGAGGCGGTTTCTCAGATGCTGAACGTCTTCCTCCGGCATAGGCGGAAGGTACTCTGTCGAAATGTTCATACGAAATGTTAGAGCCAGCGGGGAGGAGGAGGGGGAGGAGGGGGAGAGGGGAGAGAGAGGAGAGAGAGAGAGAGAGAGAGAGAGAGAGAGAGAGCGAGAGAGCGAGAGCGAGCGAAGAGCGAGAGAGAAGAGAGAGAGAGAGAGAGAGAGAGAGAGAGAGAGAGAGAGAGACCGCTCTCTTCGCCCATGCCAATAACTTCATATGGCCAATGCAAAGTGGCACACTACCTTTAATATATGCAATGCAAAGCTTGCAGAAGGCAAAATTCACCACTAGTCGCTTATCATCACATGTACTACATCATACTACATCGCTGTCTTGCATTTCACAATGCACAATGCTTACCCTTGTAGCCTTCGAATCCTTCATATCGCGATCCCTTGAATGTTTTTCCGCGTGACAACCTCTTTGATGACGCTTGGAGTTCGGCATCACTTCCGTCGTCTCGTCGCTTCTCATTCCTTACGCGCCATTGTATTTTTTGCTTTGACCTGCGACTGAGACAGGAAAAGCAGTGCATAAATTACAACCAAGGGTAGATGTAACGTTAAGGCGTTCAACATCCACTGCAGCTGGTATATAGAGGCAATGCATGGTTCACACGGAGGCTGAACTAAATGGTACTTCGACTCCGTAATTACTCGTAGACTTTATAACCTTTGTCCTTTGCCAATACCATATAAGGCACGCATTTCAAGCACATGAAGCTGATCCTTATGCGTTTGTGATGCTGACTTTAACTAGTCATCAAGTGAGAGTTGATTCCGCAGTCGGAGACAATTCCGAAGGGTCGGAATCGGAATCGGAGTCACTCAAAAACACATTGACTCTGCAACCCTCACATGCAGACATACATATTTACATACATACAAACATATACTTCATAGTATAGCACATACATACATACATACATGGATAATTATGCATATATCCAGTGCTGCGGAGTCGGAGTCGGAGTCGACCGGAGTCGGTAGTTTTGGCCGGAGTCGGAGTCGGAGTCGATAATTTTTCACCGACTCCGACTCCGGGCCGGAGTCGGAGTCGGTTTCAGCACATTTTTAATATTTTCCTTCTCTGTCGCGATGTTGACCAACACATTGACCTTACAAGCTGACCTTACAAGACATTCGGAGCCCGAACCGTTAACTGAATGCAAAACGGTTGAATAGGGTCGCAAGAGCTGTTGAATTATTCTCTTTGTGGCTATATAGCCCATATAATTTCCGACATACAGGGACATTTATCTGGCAATGTCCAAAGAGCACTTTCGCAAGTATTCATTACGAGCTTTCGTTTGCTTTTGTCTCGTCTTTCTAGTCCTCTTGGATTTCAAGTTGAACGGACAGGGAGTGGGGGAGGTCTTCTGACTCCCACCTTACCCCAAAGGCGAAAGTGGTTCAAACCCCCACCCCAGCGCGGTTAGGAAATAAACTTGAAAACTAATTTTGAAGTGAAGTTTAGTTTAATTCCAAATTAGCCACTATTGTTCCGCATTTAAACCAGTGCGAAGAAGCCGCCCATATTTAGAAACATTGGTCATGCAGGTATGTCAAAGTAGGGCGGGTCGGAGTCGGAGTTGGAGTCGGAGTCGATTTTTTCAAGACGGAGTCGTAGTCGGAGTCGGAGTCGCTAAAATTTGGTCGACTCCGCAGCCCTGAATATACATACAAATGGCCAGATCCAGGGCCGGAGCAGTTCGCAAACGCTCAGTTCAGTTCATTCAGATCGACTTTACTTGAGGTTCAGTTCAATTACCTATTTTCCAATTCAGGACATGGTGACTAAGTGCCTCCGTTCAGTATATTCAGCTGAGTTCGATTAGATAAGTTCACGAACTGTCCCGGACCTGGACCGATGTCATTTTCTATTAGTTGATGGAATCAAACAGCAACGCAATAAGTGCTTACCAGTGCCTGTTTCGGGCTGCACCCAAAGTGCAGCGCCGGCCATTGAACAAGGGCGCGGTCAGCCAGCTCCATGTACCGAGCATGAGTAAGGTTCAGGACGCTTGGAAAAAGAAAGGGCATGGGAGAGCTTAACGACTTGGAGACGCTAGAACAGGAGTTTTCAGGGCAAGGCATAGACATAAGACATCATTTAAAGGAATATGTAAACATGAAAGCACACCACACGAGACAGTAAAACCGACATAAAGGTGGAAGGCAGGAAGGTGTCACTGGGTCATCCGAGGTCACCTGAGGTCACAAGCGGTTTTTGTGCAATAACTTTTGATTGAATTGAGATAAACTCCGTTCGACGATTATTGTGTTTGTCTCGTCAATGCGCATCGAATGAGATGAACCTTGCCCTGAGGTCAACTTTTCAACTTGACCTTTTGAGGTCATATTATATATCATTCAACGCGCCTTGACGAGCTGAGAACAATGGCGTGCGAATTATGCCTCTATCTTTTCTGGATCAAAAGTTATTGAAGAAAAACTATCAAAAGTAAAAAAGAACATTTTTTCCTCGGTGACCTCTGGTGACCTAGTTTTTGGTCTGACCAAAACATGACCAAAATACTTTCCTACTGGTTTTTAACGCTCTTTCGAACGCCGCCTATCGCTTGTCTCAACGATGCTCAGGAGTCGAGTTAGACGGGGGGTGTAAACCCCCTGCTCCGCGGCCCGCTGTGTTACAAATGGAGTACCGGCCCGGCGCGGGTTACGGCTAGGGCTGAATAAAAATGTACCAAAAAAATGCATGATAATAGTATTTTATGTTAACTTCAATGTCCTCAACCCGCGCTACAACAACACCACGTTATCTACGGGGATGATACCTGTTACAAGCTTTCTCGAACGTCACGATGACTGTCGTCACTTCGCTCCACTCCGTCCTGGTCAGAGGTGAGCCGGGCTTTTTGCTTCGAAGCTTTTCGAGGAGTCCAGGTCTCAGCTGGCTGTCGTCAAACCGGATCACTTCCATGGCATCCAGGACTTCCATAGTATCCATCCTGCGAAGAAAACGAACCGAAATGGCATTAGTAACTGGTGGGTCGCCGCACCAGAGACCGCCTACTGCGCCTAGTCACCACAGTCGAAGTCTTGCCGCGGCGCAGTATAGTCTATCCTCGCGATCGGAATAGATGTCAGTGCCAGTGGTCACCTGTCTGAGGAGCATTTTGGCAACAGGCAACCAAACTGGTGGACAAGCTGGGATTGGGTGGCACGGTTCGGCGCAGCGATCCGCGGGAAGGAAGACTGTCGATCTACTAACAATATATAAAGTACGTAACTTTTCATACAGATTCATTCATAGAACTCTTGAGGTTTATAGAGGCCTGTGGTTCATTCGATTAAATAAATGTAGAAATAACGATGAAAACTCACACACCCGCTTAAACAAGCGCTGAAAGGTTTAATTCCAAACGCATAAAGACAAAGTCAGCCTGACGACTCACCGAGACACTCCTGCGGTTTGTTGAGATTCGGCCGAGCGTCGCTTCCCGACTTCGGCCGGATCTCTGCGTCTTCCCCTGATCGACGGAGTTCGGGCGACGTTGGAGGCTCCGGTGCATCCAGCTGCGAAACCACCACTGACGAAGTGGATGTCGTCCCAGTGCTGAAAATGGATGAGAGAAGATGTTTGATACAATACCAGATTAGGATAACATATTTTTTTTTCAGGACAATTTCCAACTACGCAAACATTCATAGGCCGAGCTTGTTCAATACTTACGAACGCAACTGAGCAAATTCAGTTGCAAATGATTATGGGCGTTTTTTTTTCTTTTAGAGTTTTATAACTGCATTCTGCATAAGCAACATTTTATTTCTCAAAACAACCTAACTTAACAGAGATCGATGTCCTACCTTTCAAGAACAACCAGATCGCCACGCATGACGGTCCTGATGCGAGGCCGAACACCAGTTATCGCATCTTCCTCATTCAGCAGGACCCACGAGGACCAGTCGTCATCATAGATCTCCAGATCCCACTCGCCACCCTGGGGACAAAACATGTACCTCATTCGTAGCCAGGTCGGGAGTAGACCACACACATTAGTCGCTCCAAGGTGGAGAGGGGGATGGAAATGATAGGCAAACACATCCGACATTTTCATACTCAATCATTACGCATAATCATAGAGCCTTTGGTTGCACTCTTCTCTTTCCTGTTAGACTACTGACAACAGCTGCTGTAAATGGTTGATGTTGCATTTGAGATAGACTATGTATTTCCAACACATCAGCCTATTTTCAATCTGAGCCTCGTTCAGCAGCTTAACATTATGGTTTACGTAGGTATATGGCTTTGCATTACCTTAAACAAATTGTGTAAATAAATGTTTTTTTTAATGTCATTATTTTGCTCACAGACCTTAAAATATAGTACAAAATACTATTAGGTACTATATTTAAGGTCTGTGAGCAAAAAAAAAACGTTATTTCAGCCTTTTACTTGAAACACGACATTGAGTCCCACCGTTAACTAAAATTATTCCGTCACTCTTCAAAAAAAAAAAAAAAACAAACAAACAAACAAACAAACAAACAAACAAACAATATACTAACCTGCAGACCGAAGAACGCTCGAACCTTTTGAACAAGGTCCAGGACAGACTCGAATTCGAAGACGCGCGCAGCACTTCGATGGTTTACTAGCGCCTTCATCGTTGACCGCTGAAAAAAATATGACAAGTGGTTACATTAATTATCTAACTACAATGTCCTAAAATCATCGATAGCCATGGAGTGGGTGAAACAGCAAGCGAAACAGCACATGGTTTACTATTTACGCACACATTAGACACGTGGGTTGCACAGCTCACTTCACGGGTGGTTGGATAACATCGGGTATCCCAATCCTAAAAGACAGACATAGCTTATTTGAAAAGCTGAGACAATGCCGATTCTGAATGTCATCCAGAACGCTGAAAACGACGTTTTATAACCATATAACGCCTTCTGGGCGGTGCACGACCGAGCAAAAGAGAGGTTTTGCAGAGTATTTTACACGCGTCATGTCGGATAGAAGTTAACGACTGGAGATTCAGCAATTATGATGATGAAGATGATTAGCCAGATGCTCATTATTTAGGATCAAAATTGATAGAATAGTTGTATTACGTTTCACCCACGGGGCTTCTTCGGATACATATGTTTGTCATATGTATCCGAAGAAGCCCCGTGGGTGAAACGTAATACAACTATTCTATCAATTTTGATCCTAAATAATGAGCATCTGGCTAATCATCTTCATCATCATATGTAACACAATGCTCCGAACTAGCATCTCCATCCTCAAAAAAGATTCAGCAATTAACCTCGAATCTATTCAAGCCAAGACCCGGCTCGAAGGAGGTGGGGTAAGCACGTGCAGTGACGCCCCCAGTGTTGTCGAAGCTGCATGTCGGATCAGTCTCTACCTTCGTAGCAAATTTGAGCACAATCGCCTCATCCGTTCCCGAGATATAGGGGCGGTGTGTGCACGTGCGTTCATGCAACAGTTTCACCCCATGGACGCGTGGAAGCCACATAACTGGCCGCTAGCTACATGTCAGATATCAGAGCCAGTGTAAGACCCGAGTGAGTGTAAGTTTGCACTCACAATAGCCATAACAGCGAAGCAAATAGCTGCAATACTGCTCAATACAAGCAGTCGCGAGTTCGCAGTAAATCTGATACTTCAAATTGAAGCAAAATGCACAGATTACTCACCTTTCAGAGGTGATTCGGAGACCTGGTATCTGGTACCTGAGGGGCACGTATTTTGCGGTCTGCACTGAATAAGTAGCCAGCGGAGTGGGGTCAAAAATCCAAGCAGAAGGGATCATCATCATCTCGCCCTTAGTCACACGGTATGCCATATAGTGCTCATCAAACGAAAGCGCCCTCAAGACGTCACCGATGATTTTGACATGGTTTACTGCATCAAACTGAAAATATGCTACGCGAAGAAGATCACAGCTCTCTGAGCTTGAAGCAGCCGGGTTTCTCACGATCAGCACATCATCGACGCAGTACTTCTGTCCCGCAAGCACTGCCATCTTGGTGTACGTAGCTCGGTCATCCACCTCCCATCCGAATGCACCTGTAACTAGGCATGGCTTGCATTTCTTCCCCATCATCTTCTTTTGCTTTCCTTCGCATGCAGCTACCGCTTCTTGATGTCGCACTGCCAGGGTTTTACAAATGTTCTTGGTGTTGTGTGCTCGAGATGCGTAGATCTTGAACTGCTGGTGTTTAGCTTCAAAACGCATAGTCCAAGCTTTCCTCAAGGAACCAATTTGTGCTGCCCAGTGCCGGTAATGTAATAAGTAGTGGAACTTCGGCTTGATTTTGAAGTCCGGGAACATTCCACAGAACTCACGCAGCCACTGCTCTACTGAAGGTTGCATTCTTGCAAGAATTTCACCGTCCATACGTGGAGCACAAATGAGTTGTACAAGAGAAAGCAAACCGGTCACAAGAAGCCACGCCTTTTGATCTGGTGGGACCAGTGGACCGATCATGAAAGGGAGAACTCGGAGGAAAGTCCAGCACTGACTGAAAGTGCCTTTGACGAGCACTTTGCGCCCCTTTGCTTGAAGCATGGGAGGAGTGTTCGCTTTGTCGACTCTCGCATATGAGAAGGATTTCATAGCCTTTTGAACTGAGGCGAATGTGAAGAGTTTGATTTGAAAAATCAGGTATGATAGCACCAGAGCCAAGGAATGATTGACTACGCCACTTTCAAACAGATCGTGCGCGATATCTGGTGGAAACATCTCTGTGACCTTAAAGTCTTTCAGCTCATCAAACACACATTTTGAGTTGATACCAAATGCTTTTCGTGATTCCTCATTGTCTCCATTCTCACACATGTTCAGCTCTTCTTGGTACTCCTCCTCAGTACGAAGGGTCAGCTCTTGCTCTGTGAGCTTTGTACCAAAGTCCTCATTTGTGGCGTGGCATGTTCGGCATGGTCGCTGCCCTGACGAAAATGATTCCTGGAAGCCCGCCATCTTATGCACTCCCAGGTTGTCACCACACACAAACTCCACTTTGATATCAAAATGAGTGCCACAAGTATCCAGGCCATTGTTCAAGAGGTCACACAGGGAATCTGTCACAGGCTTCATGACTGTGTTCAAACCATGAAGCTTGATGAGCTTTGTAGGACATAGTAGGAGGAGATGAATGTCACTCAGCACCGACATTGACAAGCCCTCATCGACCGCAAAATAGCAACCACCCAGACTATAATCAGATGCTTTCTTCCGCAGAGGGTTACACACACCAAATTCATCAAAGTAGAGCACAAGCTTGACCAATCTGTCCCGTTTGCAGTTTTCCAGCCTGCCATTTTCCAAGAGACTTGTCAGCTGTTTCTTGACATCCACATACTGATAGCTGGATTGGAATTCACCACCCCCTGTGGTAAGGATCTGAGTCGTAGGTGCAATGTAGCAGAGCTCCTCATGGCAGAATTTGCTCAATTTATACTCGCTTGCAAACTCTTCACAAGCCTGCTTAACTGAAGACGACTTTGATGCTCTGCTCTCATTCTGCTCCTTAAGAGCGGTGTCGACGATTTCTCCTATCTCACTAGCCACGAAAGATGTTGCAGCCCGTGACATCCCATGCTCACATTGCAATCGAAGCAAGAAACGTGCTATTTTCTCCCGGCTACTGTCTTCAGTTTTTGCTGTAGAGCCTTTCTCACCCTGATCATCCAAGCACCAGGCCTCAGTCTCAACCTCAGCTTCTTCCTGACAATGAGTACTGATTGAAGGTGACTCCTCCAGACTTTGCCTTCCTTTCTCTTTGTGCGACTGTGACGTACTTTGCTTGACAGCATGGGTTCTTTCATAATGTCTCAGCCAGTAACGTCCAGTTGTGAACCCTTGTGTACAACGCGGACAGAGAAATAAGTTGCAGTTCTCAGATTTATCCTTGAAGTGGTTATTGATATGCTGACAAAACAAAGCAATTGAGCTAGAAGAAAACAGACATAATGGAACTGTACAACGCAGAACCACTTCTACAGTTGCCTGAAAAGAGGAAAGCCTGTTATGACTTATGATTCAGTTGGGCAAACTACGGGGAGGAAATCACAAATGTGATTAATCACAAATGTGATCATTTTACGCCTATTTTGCAGCACTTTTGGAAAATCACAAAATTTCACAAAGGTTATGTCACCTGTAGCCAGATCCCAAACACAATCAAAAACATGATAAGGAAAAGATGCCCTCCATGATGAGGGCTGTTCGGCCCGCACATCCTATTGTAAAATTTTGCAGCATGCATGCGCAGTAGGGAACTTTCAGGCCTTATGCTCCGCCCACCACCGTATGACGTCACATGTGTGACATCGGCATCTGCAAAATCTTTCAGCTTCGCGCATCCTAAAATTTCAGGATGCAGGAGGCAAAAGTGGTGCAGACTTGGCGCAGACAACGTACAGTGGCGAAGTGTGCAGTGTTAACTAGTGAATTTATGCAGTGTTTGGTGTTATTTTGTCGGTGCATAAATTGGAAATGGGTTGGTGAAGTTTTTCATTAGTTATTACGTCGCTGCTTGCTGGAATGGAGCGGCACGATTGTCTCGCGCAAAATATGTTGAGGTGTTCGGTGCGTTCTGCGAAAGATTTTGCTCGACGGGATGGGCAGTGACATCATACAAGTGTGATGTCACAGTCGCGCAAAATATTTTGCAGCACCCGAACAGCCCTATGGTTTATCATGAAAATGATTATGCAGTCAGCTGGCTGAACAACTTTTTGAAAAGGCTGTCAGCTGGCTGATCACAATACTGATAACCAAATCAGCTGGCAAATCATGAAGTTGATCCATACATCCATCCATACATAGGTAGGTACACCAATCATCCTGCTAACAATAGTGATATAGCTGGGTGATCACCACACTAAATCAGTCCTGGTCCAGTCTGCAAAATGTGGCATTCTTCGACGAGATCTTGTCTGGGCAGACACCGCAGGTCGGGGCAGAAATAGGGGCAGGTTTCCGGAATACTGGGGCAGAAGCAGGAAAATCTGGTGCAGAAGTTTAAAAAATTGACGGAAGTGATTTTCTCAGCTTCTCACTGCTTCCTACATCATAATATCATTACATTATTTGCATCATTAGGGGCAGGAATTGGGCTACCCCTGGACTCAGCATTCTGATTCGGGGCAGGACTTTGTCTGCCCTGAAAATCTTGTCGAGCTCCCTGCCATGTTTTGCAGACTGGAAATCAGTTGGGTAAACAGTGGCAGTGGCCATCTGTTTCATTTTTGGAAGCTTCCATTTTTTTAGTATGCTCTTCCAAAAATAGAAGGGCATTTTCCAAAAATAGGGATGAAACTTCCATAAATCGGGACGGAAAAGGCCTTGTCAAATTTTGGAAAATAACACCACCCTCCAAAAATGGCTTTCAGCATAGGTGTAGGGACGTTTTGAGAAGTGTGTTTGGGGGGGGGGGCAAGTCGAGCTGAGTATCCGATCTGATTGTAACGTAGCTGAAAGGTGGGTGGCCTGGGCCATGGCCCGGCCGTCCCCCCCCCCCCTGTTCCCACACCTATGGCTTTCAGTGCATTAGATCACACTTTGATGGCTTTCAATTATTCACAGAACATCAAAAATTAAACACTTTGATAACTAACTCACCTAAAATATATAAAAATCGACAAAAATTGAAATCTTCTCGTAACGGGGTCATGCCAACAATGCGCGCCTAATCAAGGATGAAATGACTCACAAAAGAAAATACTACATATGCAATGTGTGGGCAATAATGACGTCATAAGACCAAAAAGGAAATATCAGTAAAACTATGAAATATACTATTAAATGTCGTTTAAACAGTAAAATGGGACTAATAAACATATTTAAACCAGACTTAACAGAACCTTACCTAACCTAACTATATCTAAACTACAACCTACGGATGTTTGATGATGCGGTCTACTCGCTAGTTGCGAAAAGGGATAGGTCTTAGGCCAGGGATTTACTTATCAAAAATTAATTTTGCAAGCCACTGTACAAACAAATCTCCTTTTTTACTGATTCTTAAAGATAAACAGGCCTATCTCCGGTCAAGCGGCCAGTAGTTACCCGCGGTAGTGTCGAAAATGCCGAGATAGCCCAAATATAATAGGCGGAAAAACGGCCAAGGTAACCCGGAGAGCTTTGCATTCTTGCTATTTTTGGAAGATAATTTGTTGATTCATACTACAGTGACTTGCCCAAAAACCTACAGTGTAACCCACATTATTTGTTTCAAATAAAAAATCGTAATTTTTATTCTAGATTTCCAAAAATGCTGCCCGCCATAAACCAGGGCATAAACTCCTTCACCTTGGCCTATCTTGGCCATTTCCGCCAATTTACATTCCGACTAGAAACGGCGGCTACGAAGTTTCTTATAGGTATCTTGGCTACGAAAGCTGATCTGTGACGTCCGGGATATGACGAAGTGGCTACATGACGCATAACGCTGAATGCCTCTGCCCGCCTCTGCACTAGCCGAAGTGAGCCGAAATTCACTTCGGAATGTAAGTTTTTAGTGGCCACCCTAGAAGCCAAGGGCGTCGCCACAGGGGGGGGGGGGGGATGGAGGGGATCTCGTCCCCTCCACTGTTTAAAGATTTTAACATTACGCCTATGGCGTTGCATGGAAAGAATCGACTTGAAATGGTCCTCGTCCCCTCCAAAATGGTCAATGTCCCCTCCAGACGTTGCACCGTGGCGTCGCCGCTGCTAGAAGCTTTAAAAAAAGGAACATATTACTGTTTTCCCAACTGAAGTGGGGTGGGCCTAAAATATTTGCTTTTCCCTTGCCTAACACATCTCCCATGTCAGATTTTACAGCACACACTAAGTGTGAGCTGCTCTATTGATCGATATCAAAAGTATCTGGATTACTTAATATCTAGACAAGTGATAAACAAGAGTTTCACCTTGTGATCCATTAAAGTAAGGCAATGTGAACTGCATTCTTAGTCAGTGGGTAGTTAAACTACATGTCTAAGCTGCAGCAGCAGAAGGCATAGGCCTGGGAAGAGGAGGGACAGCAGGTGCATTTGCCCCTCCCACTTTTGGACTGGAGGGGCAGCGCCCCTCCAACTTTCAGGAAAATTCAACATTAGCCTTATGGCGTTGCATGGAAAGAAAGAAATATAGAACTTTTGAGTTTTAACTTTTGCCCCCTCAACTTTTTAACCTGCCCCCTCAACTTTTCAAACGTTCCCGGGCCACTGGCGGACCGCGGAAGGCACCTCAGGATGTAAGGGCAAAGTAAATATCTAATTCTCGCATAGAAAAGCATCCCCAAGAATTGAAACCCCCATAGAAGAAAATCAATGTTAACAATTTTATCTGCAATAATGCGGTAACTCATCTTCCATTCCATATGCTCTTCTTTAAATGTCGGGTGTCAGTGAAAAGTTCCAACGGTACCTGTTCCAACATTAGTAATAATGTAGGTATAGTATAGGTGTTTTTCGATGTGAAATATCATTGTTAGTTATTTGCAAACATCAAAAAGCTAATTAAATGCTGATTTTCCTGTTATTAGTTAATTTAGTCTACTTTCAATAACGGCACAAGTAGCTTTCGGTTGCCAATGTAGGTTGTAGGTGTATTTTTGGTAAGTTTAGGTTAGGTTTTGTTAGTTTAGGTTAGGTTAGGTAAGGTTAGGTTAGGTCTGGTTAGGTTTGGTTATATTTTGTCCGAGCTATGTGCCTATACCCATCAGTGTTCATAATTTGGTTTAGGTGTAAATTTTCTAGCTATTTTAGGTGGTTATTGAAGTTAACACCATTGGTTAACATTAATCAATAGATATAACTAATCTAGCCACAGCGGAAAGGTAAGGTACTATTGGAAATTTCGACCCATGGTGCCCCAGCCACAATTTTGTGTGGCACATTCCCCTGTTGTGCTTCACCTTCTGCCACCCCTGTACCTTGGAACCGAATACTTAAATGATTGCCTTTATATGCAAGTTCCATTCCAGCTATACACTGGCGGAACCAGGGGAGTTAACCTGTTTCCTGAATTAAATTGACTCTCACCAGTCATTTTGAGAATGTGGCAAGTTGCAACTCCCATGCTAATGTTGCAAAAATTATCATTTGGGACCCTACCAATAAATTTCAGAAAATGATGCCCATTTCAACTTTCACTGAACAGGAAAGAACGTAAAGAAATTTTAAATAAAAAATATTTTTAGGTGGACAAAAATGGGCAGTTTTTGCCCAATAAAGGTTATCCTATGACTGCAAGGCCACCTGAAATGCGTTAGACAGATCTTACTAGAGTTGTCCTTAGACGTAGTTGTCGGGTTTGTCTTACTGGGCCACCTTATTCATGTGCAATTAAATAATTAGGGGGCTGTATCAAAGTATAATCTACAGCAACCTAGTAACCTCAGTAATAACCTATAGAATTCCTATATTTTAACCTATATTTTGCTAAGATACAGTTGGTGGTCATAATGCTGTCCCTCATTCACACAACATTCATTGCATCATCACGGTTATCACTAGCACCGAATAAAGATAAATCGATTGACAAAATTCAAGGCATACAACACAGAAGCATAATTACATCAAATTTATATCTGGCAACACCTTACTCACCATCAGAGACCCGCACGACGCGGACACAGCACAAGCCGCACAAGCCAAAGGACGCGCGCCGAAAAAAACATGGCGGACGTGACGCAGTTGCACCGCAGTTGTCAAATAACTTCAAGTGTGTTTTAGCACAAAGGTACATGTTGTACAAAAGGTCGTATGTTAGTGTCCCCTGCTATGTATAGTTTGTTCGAAAACACGTTTTGCGTAAGTGTGGCATATAGTGTATAAAACACGCATAGTGCTTGCTGACACACCACTAGTTGACACACCTTGGCTTAGTTTTGTAACTTATATGTTTGTTTACCACAAATAAATGTGCTTACATACAAACCGTTTACTAACCTCATTGCTATCTTCAGCTTTTGTGTGCCTTAATACTATCTTTTTGTTGAGCAATTAACACGGTAGTTTGTAAACTTTTTTTACAGTGTACCGGTACCAGGCGGCTGCTGCCAATGCTGAGCCATAGGAACCCGGTGGATAAAGAGTTGTAGAACATCAATCTGCCCCCGAGTGTACCCCGATCTGCAGAATCCAGGAGCACCTTGCTCCTAGATGTTGTCATTCAAAATTACCATAGTTTTGTAGCCTTGTTTGCATCATCACATCCTATAGTACCTACCTATCATGAATATTCCACAGGTCTTTTGTTCGCTTTTCAACATCAGCCAAATTTTGTGGGGGCAAAAACATAGTCTTGCCCCCACGGCCTCCTGTCAGTGGGGGCAGTCTGCCCCCACTGCCCCCACGGTGGCGCCGCCCTTGATCGTCTCGTGATCTGGGCTGTGCACTCGCGTCACCCAGGGCGCCCCCCAGTTCTGGGATCTCCCAGCTGGCGGTTTTATAAAGAACAGATTGTGTGTGGTCGTCGCACCCACAACGGACGCTCGATGTTCCATGTCGTCACTGGTCACTGAAACACTAGGTACTAACCATTGGTCTATCGGCGACTCTTTTCGGCGATCGGCCACTGGCTACCCTGGTGTCTTGGCGTTACTGATACCTGGGCAACTGACGTCCACTGTGGCTACTGAGCTTTCCAATTAGTGACTTCAGCTTCATAAGAGTAAGTCTACAGCCTCGTCAGGCTCTGATCCGACGGTAGCGAAGGGCTGGCCCATCGAGACTAATCACATCCGTGACATGGCACTGAAGAATGCGGCATTAGTGATGGGGCATCCTCTGGCGCGTGATCGGTGTCCATTTTTCACTGCCGGCTTCGCGGACGGCATCGGACTCCGGTCGACGTCATCGAGCGTCATCGGTGGTGATCAACACCGGAGGTCACGGTTACCTCTGTGGTCTTGTCGAATGCAGGTGTTTACCGGAGAAATTAATAACGCACTGGTAAAATCAGTTTTTTTCAGTAGGGTGCAGTTATCGTGAATATACATATTATCGTCATGTCATATTGAAATATTGCGTATTCTTAGGTATTCGTAAGGCGCTGTTGAAATGAATTATTTTCCTCTTAATCACTTCATTTGTCAAATAGGAACTTTTCAAGATAAGCTGAGTCATGCATATATTCACATTTCACATGCTATTAAATGCCCTTGCGATTCTACAACACCTACTAACAAAACAGTCGGCATGCCTTTACCTGTTCCTCGCATTGCATGCATGGCATGAGCGCCTCGCGCTGAGTCAACACTGCTTTCGGCCCCATTGTGTGGTAATTAATTGGTATCTTTCACTTTCATCTTCGCTTTGGCAGCGCCGTGGTGGCTGATTAGACCGAAGTCCTAGTTGGTCGTGTGTAAACGCTCATCACAGTTCCGGGTTCAGAGATTGAGGCGACATGCCCACTGTATTCAGCAGAACAGATATCAGTGCATTGGAACACGCCTTCTGTAGAACACTGGTGCGAAGAGGTTAATCGTGTTGACCGGCTCATTTCGACTGAATAGGATCTATATGCTTTAAATGAATTATATCGTGTTTATAAAGAGGTCCGGAGAGCGATAACATATGTTCACGGATGTAACCTAGTCGTGTACCGTAAAGTGGGGCTATTTGAGACAGTGGGGCTATTTGAGACAGTATTTAAAATCGCTATAAAATGAAGATCGTTTGATTTTTGTGTGATATTTTTGCTCAGGG